ATTGCAAAGGGTGAGGGTTCGAGTCCCGTCTGCTGATTTTTTTCTATTAAAACTTTTCTAACATCTAGCAGTTAAATGCTTAGTAAATAAGAAATATAACTAGTAATATAAGTTATGATTTCATTTATTTTTTAAGCATTTAACTGCTAGATGTTTAAATCTAAAGAAAAGTCTACTAGAAAAAAATCCACGCGGACCAGGCAGCGGACGGGACTCGAATCCGCATCCTTCGTTATCCGGGCGAATGCACTGACCATTATGCTACTACGGCCCTATTAGCCGCGTCGAAATTTTCCTAGCCTTAAGCTGCAAGGCAGCGCCATCTCTTCGCATTGTAGGTAACCCACAATGTCAAATGAATACTTTTACAAGTATTAAACATTTGAAAGAAGAAATAGCAATTATAGTTATGATTGTGGGTTACCTACAATGCGAAGAGATACGTACGCCACTTACGATAAACTGTTCCGTTCGAACTGTACAGTCTGATCGTAACGATTTCTCGTAGTGTGTATGGCTACCATTAGTGTTTCCTCTACTGTAAGTCTTACAGTATCGGAGGATCAGTAGGGTTCGAATCCCGGTGTGGGCAGATGTTTTTGTGATGAATACGAGCATTTGTACTTCTTATTTGTTTCTTAGGTTTTCACGCACATCACTCATTAAATAAAACTAATTTTAGGGCAAATCGTGCATTAAGTTCGTGAACTTTATTTATTTATTGACGTTTCGCAGCCTTTTCAGGTCTGCGTCAGAATAATCATTTTTGATTTACTTTGTCGAGCTACCTTCGAAAGCCTTGTATTGAGCGTTCGGATATTTCATTGGAGATTTTCAAAACTTTATTGTCTATGTATGAATACTAGTTTTATTTATACTCCAGTCATGGATGTTTAATATGTATTTCTATATAAATATGCTTACCTATATATGTATTATATCCGCCGTTATAGTCCAGTCGGAATAAACATGAGACCTATTCTAAGACACCAGCGCTTAGCCAATTTTTTCCTAGATAGTATAGACCCCCACGAATATGCCCTCCATTTGTCCCCGCTAGAACCCGTGTTTTGTAGCCAGGAAAATTGTTTAAACAAAGAAAAACCGTTTTTTTTTGAGTTTTTTTGCTTGTAAACGGGGATTTTGAAATTTTTTTTAATCAAAGTTGTTCATTTACTTGCCCTCTACAAAATCAGTTCTATGAAAAAATAACGTGAGATTGTTAGTTTAGCAGTAAATTGCAATTATGTCGGTTTTACGTTTGCAACAATTCAACATGTTATAATAAACATTTTGATTTCTAAAGTAGTTTATCATGTGGGTAACGCCACTCCCAAGAGAGTCATGTAAAATTTATCGACCTGTGTCGCAAACTTTAGCAACAATTCTCAATCTCCGAAAAAAAAGTACTTGCCTGTCCCGTCTTTCCCAGAAGGCGCACAGCGGGGAAAAAAATTCAGGTGATTCGATTCACCAAGAATTTTGAGGAATCGATCGAGTAGAAAAAAATCGTTAATGAAAATGTTCGTTTTTGGACGATCTAAAATTTTTTTAAAAATTGACGTAGAATATTTTTTTTTTAAACTAATGTATTTTTCTCTCCTCAACTCGAATATACGATTGAAAATTTAAAAAATTCAGTTTATTTATGTACAGAAATTATTTACAAAACTATTAACTAAAATTCGATTACAAGACTGCGTTGTATTCTATATTTCTAATTAAATTAATTTCGTCCTTTTTTCTTCGATCCTCAAAATTCTTGGTGAATCGAATCACCTGAATTTTTTTCCCCGCTGTGCGCCTTCTGGGAAAGACGGGACAGGCAAGTACTTTTTTTTCGGAGATTGAGAATTGTTGCTAAAGTTTGCGACACAGGTCGATAAATTTTACATGACTCTCTTGGGAGTGGCGTTACCCACATGATAAACTACTTTAGAAATCAAAATGTTTATTATAACATGTTGAATTGTTGCAAACGTAAAACCGACATAATTGCAATTTACTGCTAAACTAACAATCTCACGTTATTTTTTCATAGAACTGATTTTGTAGAGGGCAAGTAAATGAACAACTTTGATTAAAAAAAATTTCAAAATCCCCGTTTACAAGCAAAAAAACTCAAAAAAAACGGTTTTTCTTTGTTTAAACAATTTTCCTGGCTACAAAACACGGGTTCTAGCGGGGACAAATGGAGGGCATATTCGTGGGGGTCTATACTACCTAGGAAAAAATTGGCTAAGCGCTGGTGTCTTAGAATAGAAGTCGGTCCAAATTATGGCTATTCCGACTGGACTATTACCCTAGCATTCCATAACACAAACCTTATACAGTGCTAACTTTGGGGATAGGCTAATTGGTGTCTGTTGGAAATATTTATAAACCATATGCGTACCAAGTTTCATCCAAATCAGTTCAGTAGTTTTTTCGTGATTTAATAATGAAAAAATCGGTGCCCAAATGAAAGACAGTTTAAGTATTTGAGATGTTTACTGCTGAAGGCCAATGAAAAGCATTTTTAATCCTATTTTTTCTGCTGCTTAAAAATAAATTTGATTAATTATCTATAAAGCCATAGGTATCGAATCGGCAAAATTATTTATGTTAACATCCCTACATGATACATTGTCGGCAACGCATTTTTCGGCCGCGACCCGTTCACCGAGTGGACGTGTGTTTAAGTCTCGTATAATTTTAAACCTATACTAAATCTTAAGTTCAGCAAATATTAACTTTATAATTAGTGCAAGTGAGTCGAAATTTGTGAAATCCGTTTCTGTGATTTATTAACTATTATAGTGAAGATAAAAAGTGAATACCTACCGCTACCTCACTCCGTTTCATCCCGCAGATTACCAGTAGATATCTGCCGATCCATTCTCAAAAATGAGCGTTAAGCGTTCGCCTATTAAATCACGGAAGGGATCTACTCACACTGGTTCACAGGCGGACCTTACAGACTATGACTCCACCGCCTCGGACTCCCAAATCTTAACTCGTAAACGTAAGCAGCCTGACTCTGATCACATACTAAAAAACGATTTTCAGGAGTTTAAAAACGAAATAATGTGCTTTTTACAAGATATCAAAAAAACCAATGACGATTTTATGAACAACATCAAGTCGGAAATATACGAAATAAAAAGCCAAGTGAGTTCTGTGTCTAAAACCATGGAGAATTTATCACAGCAGCAAGGACAGTTCAAACTTGAGCTCACGGATTTAGCTAAATCCTTGGATTTTCATTCCAAGTCATTCGACGAACTCCAAACAAATATGCAGGTCTTGAGTAAGGAAGTCAATCATCTTAAAAACATTGAAATGGAGCTTGACAAGTGTAATCGTCGTTTTATATCTATAGAACGAGATGTTAACGTCCAACTGCAGCGCGACCGTTTACTCAATTTGGAAATTACTGGAATCCCAGAATATAAAAATGAAGACCTATCTCTGTGCCTGGTATCTATATGTAAGGCTCTAGACGTTGAAGTATCAAAACAGGATATCAAAACTATTTATCGTGTGCATTCGAGATCATCTAACTTGAAGATGCCCAAAAATATAGTGGCAACAATGAGTACACAACTCATTAAGGACACCATTATTTCCGCCATCCGAAAAAAGAAAGGACTTACTACCCACGAGCTCGGACTTACAACTTCCAGTGATCAGAAGATATATATCAATGAACATTTAACTCCATTTTATAAATTATTATATAAAAAAACTCGAGAAACTGCTGCTGTTGCCACTTATAGATACGTTTGGGTACGAAACGGCAAAATTTTCGTTCGAAAAAACGACAAGACACCTTCATTCAACGTCATGGACTACAAGGATTTAGAAAAAATGAAATAATTAAGCTATTTTTATTTTATAGTGTAGCAAAAACTGTAATGCTCAAGGAAATAAGCCGTGTTTATCACTTATCCTTAACATACCATTTATATTTATCTTTTTATACATTTTTTAATAACTTTTTTTATATTATATATATCAATACAAATATTATTACGAGATCCTTTTTTTTGCCGTGTTTATGTACGACAAAAATATATTGTAAAATAATCCTACGACATAAGACTAAGTCATTTACGGAACAATATTTTGGTCAGATTATAATAAAATTGTTTATTTACTGCATGTCTGCTAATTGTTTAATAGTTTGTTACAATTTTTCAGCACAACTATCATTCCGACTAATAAAATATGTTGGACAAAGTTTATTAAATTTCCCTACTAAACTATATAATTATCTTCAAAGTACCCCTAAGACAATGCTAAGCAAGGTGTTGTTGAGAATTTATGTGTATATAATAATAAAAATTAGCATGTTTGAACTAACTTTGATCAAAGTCCGTTTCTCACTTAAACTAGACATTTTAGTATATTTTATAATATACATAATTTTTTTACCTAACAACATTAACTCTTCAACAGCCTCGAAATACAATTTTACGACATATTTGTCTCTGATCATTTTCAATGGCTAATAACCGTATTCAAGATAGAAACTTAAGTATTTACTACCAGAATGTACGTGGCTTACGGACTAAGTGTTTGAAACTATACAATAATATTCTTATTAATAATTATGACATATTATCATTCACAGAAACATGGCTACAAGATGATATTATGAATAACGAATTGTGTGATGGTAGGTATCAAGTATTTCGTTGTGATCGAGATCGGCAGGTAACTAACAAAAAAACTGGAGGTGGTGTGATGTTGGGCGTACGGCGAGAGCTCTATCTTTATCTTGAAAATCCACGCGGACCATATAGGGCGGCTAATAGGGCCGTGGTAGCATAATGGTCAGTGCATTCGCCCGGATAGCGAAGGATGCGGGTTCGAGTCCCGTCCGCTGCCTGGTCCGCGTGGATTTTTTTTCTAGTAAACTTTTCTTTAGATTTAAACATCTAGCAGTTAAATGCTTAAAAAATAAATGAAATCATAAATGATAATATATATATATATATTTTTTTTATCACCAACAGGTCGGTTGAAGAGGCCCTCAGATTAGTTCAAGCATTCCAATACACTGACAAATACGGGGAAGTTTGCCCGGCCAACTGGAAGCCAGGCTCTAAGACCATCAAGCCCGACACTAAGGCCGCCCAAGAGTACTTCGGAGACGCCAACTAAACACCCAGACACAAAACAAAAGAATACAATCACACGCCAACACTCGTTAAACACTTCAACACAAGTTTTTAGGGAGCCATTCGCACGAATCCAACTCATTTTGTTCAATCTATTTCTAAATGATATTGGTGATTTTATCAATTTCCACCGTAAATTCCCAAACCTATGAATTATAAAATCCTCTTAAAAAACAAATGTTACCTCTCCAATTATTAAATTATTTTTGAATATTTATCCAAATGAATCGTAGTCCACCGAAGTGGACCACGGGGATTATTTTTTTCCCGTGGTCTACCCGTATAGCCACATGTTTCTAACAGTAAATTATGGATGTTCTTATGAACAAAAAAGCATTTACAATTTTTAAAAATCGCGTATATTTTAAAATCATTTAACTAGCGTAGTTTTTCTAAAGCGATGCCTAAAGAAATATTGTTGTTAATTAACTGCATCTGAAGTTCTGAACATCTTTTATATAATCATTGTTTTCAATTAATTTGCGCCTTTTTGATTTTGCAATTATTATTGTTCTCAAGACACTCAAGAGCCGTAATAAATTGAGGAAGAGTCAGGTGGACCACGGATAAAAAATATTTCCCGTGGTTCAACCAGGTGAACTACGGGAAATAAATAATCCCCATGGTCCACCTGGGTGGACTACGAGGTGGACCACGGGAAACAAAGGAAATGAATATATGTATATCCAAAAATAATATAAGTTTGTCTCAAGACTAACCGACAATACTAATTTCAATAGGCTAGTTGACCCTTTTTGGAAAAAGGTTTTAAATGGTTAATAAATGTTCTATTAGACCGAAAAAAAATGTATTGTATTTTTTTGAGACCTAGAAAGTTACAAATCTTTAATTTTAAAATAGACTTTTCATGGACATACAAAAACGCTGTCGGCCATTTTAGTCTATAGATTATCTATGCTATGACGTTGACGGTAGTAAACAAAAACTCGTAAGCACGTAGAAAATAACCTATCTGAGTTTATAATAATAAAATAAACATGATTTCTAATAGATACCACGAAAAATATAGTAATTATCATTATTGTATTGTACGAGAATGTAAGAACCTTGAAGACTCCAGGAAAGTTGTGGATTAAAGTGCCGAAAAAAATACCTGGTTAGAACTTGCTAAAAGTGATCCTGCAACTTTATCGACTCATAGTAAAATTTATTTTTGCGAAGATCACTTTGATGTAAGTACTCATTGAATAATATTTTAAGTCTCTTCATTTATTATCAGTTTTAATAATACAAGTTTTAAAGTTATGTATGAATGACATTTAGTTGTTTACTAAAAGAGACGTCACAATCATGGCGGATGTGGCGAACAGCGTTTTTAGTGTTTAAAATATATAGACTAAAAATATTTTTTTAAAATTAAATTTCTACGGCAATCTTCTGCTTTTATGAAGTGAAATCGATATATTTAGGTTCCTTAGACCAAATACTTTAAGAAATAAACATTTATTTAATACAATTCGACATGAGTCAACTAGCCTATTGTTTGTCTCTAGCTTTCAGATAAAACAACAGATATCCAATTACAAAAATTCAAGTACATTGTTTCCATCATATACTTATTGTGGTTTCACAACATACTTAAAAAAAAGCCAAGTCAATTCCTACTGAACAACCAAGTCTGGCGAAATTCACAAAAGTGCACCGCCATTTTCCAAAAAGAAGAAGATTTTATCAATTTCGATTATTGTATTCAATTATCCTTGCACTGTTTAAAGATATCACACAAGAATCTAGTTGAATCGGCATTTCAAAATATACTAACCTACGGTTCTTGTATCCAAGTTCTAATAACAAAAATAAGATTTACAATGGGATGAAAAACATAATTGAGTTTGATTCGTGTGATATACACCTTAACTATATTGCCTTATATAATGATTGTTAAACGGTAAATCAGTTTGTATGTGTTGGTAATTTTATCGATCGAGCAAAATTAATCAGCCCATTGATTATTTGTATAATTGAAGTTAATTTCTGCAGTCATATTATCTTGTATAGTAACCGAACAATGTGATAATGATGTATGACTAATTATATACTTATCTACATTCTTTAAAATTGTAATTTATCAAGTTATTATGACTGCAAACTCATCTTTAAAACAGTTATTACTTTGTTTTTGTCAGAACATTCTGTAGATCGGAATGATTATTTCGTTAAACTCATTGTTACTTATAAAAATTCTAAGCTTCATATCATGACATGGCGTACAAGTTTTGCGAATCTCAACGCAAATAATACAGTCTTTATGAAATGGACGATGCGTGCGTGACAATATCTCTCGCAAATTATCAGTATTCAAGAAATAACCTTGTATGGAGGCTGTAATAAATGCTGTGTTTTTTAATAATAAGAGCTGTCTTTTTATTTTTACGATTTGGCCCTGTAAATCCTTGTTCTCATGCCGCCTATACATTTGGTCGTTAGCCTGTATTAGAGATGGGCGTTATTAGATATTTTTGATGCGTGCGCATCGATGCGATTTATCTGATACCAATTATCAGATAAATCGCATCGATGCCAACTGAACGTCGGTATCGTAGTATCACAGGATACGATGCAATATGAATTACGACAGATGCGTGTTTTGTGTGGGTGTGTCTCTTCGATTCCATGAATCGTGGCTTGAAAATGTAATCAAAAACCATTTATTTACTTTTCTAAAATTATTACAAAAAAAAAACACTCGGAGCATAGGTTTTGAACGTAGGCAGGTTGCCAGGTTTGGATGCGGGCATCCGATGCGACTGGATGCCGTTATTGGATACCTATGCCATCTAGTTTTTTGTCAACGTTACTATAGCAACAGTGCCACAAACTTTTCTGTGCCGGTAAAAGTTAAACTAATAGAATTACAAAAAGTAATACGAAAGTAATAGCACATTGTATAATATATTTAAAGACAAGAAACACAACTTTTTTTTTATTAAATTATTATTATTAGTCAATATTTGTTTTATTTATTGCATTAATCACTTTAAATAAGTTTGGGTATTGCATAAGCAGGAAGTGGCGCCTGTTCAACCAATACCCATTATGCAGTTGATTTCGTATTTGCTCGTATAATTCTACAGGCGTACAGTTTTAATAATGTCTGAACGCTCAATTGATTATAACTCTTTATCCTTAAAAGCTGGGAGGTCCAAAACGATATATATAAAGGTAGCAACCTAGTAGCAACTATTGCTTTAACAAAATCTCCATTTAGTTACGCAGTTTGCTCTGACTGGATAGGTGACCAGCCATTCTGACGTCAGAATGGCTGGTCACCCTAAAAAGTAGTTTATTTGGTTTTAATCGGGGGTAGCAACTATTTAACGATTAGTAGCAACTTTCTATAATTATTTCGATGTAAAATATGTGTAGTGACCGGCCATTCTGACGCTCACAAAAATTTGAGCTACAATTTATCCATAGCATTTTGACAGTTTTGTTCACCGCTAGCGACATCTCCCCCGGCACAGATAAGTTTGTGGCATTATTGCTATAGTAACGTTGACAAAAACTAGATGGCATCGGCATCCAGTCGCATCGGATGCGCGCATCCAAACCTGGCACCGTTATCGCGCATCGTTATTCTAAAAACGCCCACCCCTAGCCTGTATTCGGGTGCACGAAACACATAACACGAATTCGGGCACCCGAAGCAATATTTAAACATTTAACTACTAAATAGATATGTAAATCCTACTAGAGTCTATTATTCTGTACTTGTAGAATATATAAAACTCGTATTCACTGGGTAACATTTTGACACCTGCTAAATTTTAAAACTTGCCAAAGAAACATCAAATTATTATAAGTAGCAGTAGAATAATTATTGAATACGTAATAACTGAGGGCCCACCAACTGATTGGATTTTCTTTATTTGTAGTCAATCAACAGAGCTCAAATTTTTGTACGTAGTACTACAAATTATTTTGTAAATATTATTATTCATTAAAATTAAATAAAACTAGTTTTTACGGGTTATAATGCACGAAACTTTATTTATTTATTGACGTTTCGTAGCCTTTACAGGCTACGTCGTCAGAATTACTAAACTTTTATTTAATTTGTCGAGCTACCGAAGGTAGCTGATGATGATGATGCTGAGCTGATGTGCGTGAAAACCTAAGAAACAAATATTCATTAAAATTATTTAAATTGGTCAGATACTACAGAAATATGAAAATTGGAGCGTTTCGTCTTAGAGCCCACATTCGGCGAGTCATAATAGCGTTTGACTTACAACAACTACATAATTCTTGACGATCGTGGCCGTGTGGTTTATACGCCCGAGTTTCATGGTGTCGCCGACTCGAGAGGTCTCGGGTTCGAATCCCGGTGGGGGCAGATATTTGTGTGATGAATACGAGCATTTGTACTTCAGTCACGGATGTTTAATATGTATTTCTATAAAAATATACTTATATATGTACAGTATATTATTCTATCCGTTACCCTAGCATAGCATCCCTTAACACAAGCCTTACAGTGCTTACTTTGGGGCTAGGCTAATTTTTGTGAGTGTTGGAAATATTTATTATTATTAATAATTATTTATCCTTCTGGCTACATTTTTTTAAATGTCCTGCAAATTTTTATTTAAACAGAACCTATATTTTCCTCAGTGGCCTACTGGCCTATCGCAGGACACGCACATGCCATTCTCATCCAGTCTTGTATGTCAGCTCAGCAGTGTCATCACCTACGATTATCAGGTCAACCTAAACATGCACATGAAATAGTGCCGTGGTTATTCCCAGTAGCCCCCATCTGGATTGCCACCGGAGGCCAATGGGAATAAAATTCCCAGTTGCCGCCGGTGTCGACTGGGAAGTCATTGCCCCCATTTCATCAGTTCCCGACTGTCCCACCAAACCGTAACGCTTCGCTTTTGCATTGTGGAGAACGAAACGATGAGACAAACTGAATCTGCCTCTTTCTTATTACTACATCATTCAAATAAAGTTTTCGACATATTAACAAGTGATCGTGAGTAAACATCAGTGGTGATGACTCCGAACTTTAAGTCGTGAAAACCATCTACGTCCACGCTGTTCGTGGATCTTCACGGCACTAGTGTAGAGCCGGCATAATAATTGACACCGCAAATACCACCATGTTTAAACAGCATGTTACAAATTAACTGATCGTGAAAACAGCAATGAAATAGATTCCTGCCTGCGTAGGTTCCTGGTAAATAGGTTTCAGATCATCGTGAGCGATCAGACAGACCAAAAACTGGACTGCAGCGCCACCTAACGGGTAGAGATGTGAGTATTCTTAAACATTTTGAGCAACTATCTTTAAGAACCCTCTGTATATATAGATTAGAAAACTCAAATAAAAGATCAGATGTATAAAATCGTCTCAACTTATGGCATGCGCACGTGCATGACTAAAAGCGCCTACTGACATGCCTGCCGCAGGGACAGTCGAGGGTGCGCGGCGGTCGGGGCAATATGGGCTGTCTCTCTACACACAACATGCCTGCTATTCAGTGTTCGGGGGTATGTTGAGCTAAACACACGCGTTGATGATGGTCCCAGTGTTATCAAAAAAACAGAAGAAGGCAGGACCTTGGCTTTTTCTATCGTATTACCGTAAAAAGGAAATACTGGGTGAAGAATTGGCAACAGAAAGAAATGTATTGTAAATAAGTTATGTTTATATTACTAGAAAAAAATCCACACGGACCAGGCAGCAGACGAGATTCGAACCCGCACCCTTCGCTATCCGGGCGAATGCACTGATCAACAGCCCTGACGGCTGTATCGAATTCTATCTAGCCTTTCTTAAGCTGCAAGGCAGCGCAATCTCTTCGCATTATAAGTAACCCACAATGTCAAATTAATACCTTTAGAAGTATTAAACATTGGAAAGAAGAAATAGCAATGAAAGTTATATGACCAAGGGTGGTCTCGCGCTCCTGCCGCCCTGCCGCAGGCCCGATTTAGAAAGTTGCCCCAACTTGCCAACACAAATCACAATTCAGGAGGCAATTGAGGGTCAACCCCATTCTTACAACCTAGATTGTCCCTGCGGCAGGCATGTCTGTAGGCGCTTTAAAGGAAATAGGTATTACGACTTTGACTACGCCTATTAAACTTACCATGTATAAACTTTAACTCTGTAGGATTGCTAAACATTTTTATCAGGCAATCAGGTTCAAAAACCTCAGTATCAGTCACTCTGCTGTTGGCAAAGACATCTATACTATTTGTATTTGTGAGTGCTTGTATACTTGTACTTTATTGTGGGGTTAGTTGATCAAAAAGATCTGACACTGGGAGTAGGGAAAAGATCATAGACAAATGATTGGTCTCGCTCGCTTCACTCGAAGCGAGACCAATCATTTATCTATGGGGAAAGATATTGGTGCCAATTCTGGCGTGATTCTCTAAACTTAAAACTAAATTTAACATCAGTCTCTCCTTTTCATTCTGTATAGAGAATGACATGGATATAAGTACTGCTGTCAAATTTAAGTTTAGGTTTAGAGAATCATCCTAGAATCGACACCATTGAATTCATTGGCGCTTGGCATAGCTAGAATTTGAGTTTCATACAGTTTTTAATTCCTGAATGACTGCCCCCTGGGAAAAGTCGTAGAGGGACTGCTGAGCTGCTGCGAGGATATCAATTATTCATTACTGATCTATATTTTTATTTGAAATTTACTAATACCACGCCACTGCATGCCCTGTAGGAAACTGTAACGAAAAATCTGTAGTAACGCTCAAGTCAGAATTACCTGCCAAGAGGTTAATATAGTTTAATATTTTTTGATTATCCGAGATATAAATAAATTTCTGTGAAACGTCACTAAATAAATAAAGTTTCGTGCATTAACCCGTAAAAACTAGTTTTATTTAATGAGTGATGTGCGTGAAAACCTAAGAAACAAATATCCGAGATATGTTTAGAATTGTAATTAGATATTACTTTAATTATGAAGCTAATAATAATTTTGAAATTAAACCCGAATTTCTATATTAGGCATTCGAAGCGCCCCTTGCGGAAAGATTCTAAATCTTTAAAATAATATGGTTATGTAAATAATAAAGAAGTTCCTTCATGAATTATTTGAATTATGACAACACTTTCGAAAATGAATAGTTAGATGGTGTCTTTACGAAGACATACAATAGTTGGCTATTAGCAATGTTGTTACGCAAAAAGTGGCTTAGCAATCTTTTCGTGCGTCTAACAAACTATTTATAAAACATAACGAAAGCCTTCTATAAAGGTAATTCAATTTATCATCAATATACATTTTTACCTCTAAGTTACATTTGAAGCACTTTGTACGGTGCTGATAACAAACGGATCATTGTTTAATTTCGGTGTCCCTTAGGGATGGCGATCTGAGATCGATTAATCGAAGAATCGATTTTTTGAGCCAAAAAGATCGATTTTATTAATCGATATGTAGTACAGAATCGATTCACTGAATCGATATTTCGCCCTTGAAAATCGACATTCGATTTTATTTTATTTGTTTGAGATAAACCAAAAAAGTATTTACAATTATTTGAATATACCCGTTATAAGAGTGCTGTCGGTAACGGGGTTATTTTAAAAAAAAATCGCTAATGGCTATATGTTTGGATCTCTTTTTAATAAAAAAAGACACGTTTGTTTGTAATCTTTGAATAAAAATATTTTTTATCATCAAATCACCTGATTTTACTGATAAGAGATCGTTAAATTGTAATATGTATCTTGTTTTTAATAAAATAGACTTATATTACATTATAAACAAAAACTTAAAACAAGATCGATTTTTCAGAAATGTGCGTGAAAACCTAAGAAACGATAAGATCGATTTTTCAGAAATCGATCTTATTGGCCCCGATTATTTTGTGGATCGATTCAGTAGGTCACGATTCGAATCGATTTAAAAATCGATCTTTTTTGGAAAGAATCGCCATCCCTAGTGTCCCTTTTTATTTTATGCTTACCGCCGTATTTTGTTTGAAATACGACGCCTACCGGTTTGTTTATCGGCGAGTATTGTATTTAAATTTCGTTCGTCATTATTCGACCAATCAGCGCAATGGATTTAAAATTCGAACCAATGGCATAGTATTAGGGAATCTATGGGTTTTGTAGTACGCCGGCCGGCTAGGACGCGTCGACTCACGTTGACGTTGTTATAATTTAAGCGCAATTAATTTCCTTTGATAATTTTTTAAGAATTCGTAATAAAAATGGGACAAAATTATAATAACGAATATAGTGATTACGGCAGTGGGAACACTTCCGATTCTGTAAGTGATATATTTTATTAATTACTTTATTGAAGGTACTCTGCATAGCTATTTTTTGTAAAGAGGTAGGTAGGTATAGGTACCTAGTAATAAATATAAGATAAATGAAATCATAGATTAAACAAAATATTTTTTTCCGAGGCTTGTAATATGTATTCTTAGAATTTTACAACTACAACCTTTTTGTTTTAATCTAAGATTACAACAAAATGTCGAAATATTATAATCAAATATAAATCCTTAGTTAATAATAATAAAGCTCTAAATCAGTTTGAGAAATTTTACTGTTTTGGTAACTGGACCTTTTTACATAAAGTCGAAAAATTCAATTAGTACATAGGTACATGAGTGTGTTTAGGTGTACCTACATTAGAGTCCTGTCGTCCTACCGCCCTGCGGGCCATTCGCCCAACGGAAATGCTTTGGAAAACGCTAACGCTTTCGATTATATTTTGTTATTTCTGACCGCCGCGGCGCCGAAGGTTTTCAAATACCTACCTTACGCTCATTTTTTTAATATTGTTATTACCAATGCAAAAGAAAAAAAAAGAGCGCGAGGCATTTGAAAACCTCAGGCGGCTAGAAATAACAAAATGAAATCGTAAGCGTTAGCGTTTTCCAAAGCATAACCGTTATGCGAATGGCCACCTGCCCTGAATATTTTTGACGTGACAACGTCTTAAATTAGGTTGCGGCTGGGAGTCACTTATGAAAAAGTGTAACACTCGGTAACGTTACGATGAATCTCTCGTGTTAAGTTTAAGTTTACATGTACAATGTTTTAGTAAACAAAATATATTTCTATAGTTAAAATTTGTGCAATTCTTATTTTCATTCAATTCCTTGTTCCTATTGTGCAATTTAATTATATTCATATCAATAAATATTCTACCGAGAAAAAGACGTTGTCACGTAAAATCTTCGCCCGTAAAACCGACTTTACAGGCAACCATTTTTTTTAAGAAGAGACCTGGTTTTATAAATATATGTTAGAGGAATAGTTTGTCATCTGTAGCTGTAGGGCGACGGTGACCGACCACTTAAAATCAGGTGGCCCGTCCGCCATTCAGCCTTTGAAGGCGATAAAGAACAAGGACCACTTGTATTTACAATATTTAGTGTTTCGTTGGGTTATGATTTTGCTCTTGTACCAAACCGTAAACAGTCATGTATTTTGTTATTATTACTAACGTGACGTATTCACGAACGAACAAAGTCAACGAAGATTGCTGTGAAGCGGGACTAAAGTACTGGATGAATTACCGTACCTAGTAGTGCACCGCTCATACTGCGGCAAAATAAAAATCCAAAAAACAAAAAATATACTTGCTTTTTTTCTACGGAAAAACGCTACCCTTATAATAATTATCTAGTACAAAATATTATATTATACCAAATAAATAGGGTAAAAGCCCCGAATACCAGCCAATACTAGCTTTTTCGCGAGTGTGTCAAAATGTCTGTTTGTTAGCTCTTCACGTATAAACTGCTGAATCGATTTTGATCAAAATTTAGTACCAATAGATAGAGTTTGGGTCCCGGTAAAGGATATAGGATAGTTTTTATTTCAGAAAACATCTTTAAAAGGTTAAAAATTAGGGTGAAAGATCGATTAGGTAATTAATTGAACCACACAGACAAAGTCTCGGGCACCCACTAGTATATAATAAAACGCAAATAATAGATATCGGTAATGTATTTTTATCATTCTTTCTATTTTATATTACACTAAATATTTTGTTGGTGAAAAAATTATACTGACATTACAGAAACAAAACATTACTGGGTTAGTGGTTTTCTGATTTCCAAAAAGTAGGCATAAACAGTTAACACTTAAGTATGTTTGAGTATTGTTTGTTTGAGATCAAAGTACCTAATTGCTTTGCAATAAATACTAAGGTCATTTTAATGATGATTGTTTGTTCTGTACAAAGTCGTAATAATAAGCTACCTCATGATGTGATAAAAGTGTATTTGTCATGGGCGTGCCGCTCTCAAAAATATAGTTATTAATTCCAAATGGTGGCATTATAATGGCTAGCAACAAGATTGCACAAAGCTTTCATTCTTCTTCTTTCATATCGATTCCTAGTTTAAAACAGTATTGTCAAGCGTCATGATGACATAATCCCCAAAATTACTCATTAAAAATAATTACTTCTTTGTTTAAATATAAGTAATTAATGTTTTTTTAAACTTTTTTAATTTAATTACTTTGTTTTTATTGAATTGAATTTAACATTGAATAATTGATTTTTTTTAATATTTCTAATAATCATTGAATTATTATTATATTTTGACGACGGCTATGGCCGAGTGGTATATACCTAACGCTGGTTTTCATGGCGTCGCCTAATCAGAGATTCGACTCCCGGTGGGGCAAATGTTTGTATGATGAATACAAGCATTTGTACCTTAGTCATGGATATTAATATATATTTCTAGATAAAATAAACTTACAGTACTTAGGTATATGTATTTTATCCGTTACCCCAGCATCCCATAACACAAGCCTTCAGTGCTTACTTTGGAGCTAGGCTAATTGTTATGAGTGTGAGAAATATTTATTATTATATAAAAAAATAGATATAAACGTCTGTCGAATTGAAAGCCAGATCCATAATACTTCAGTAACTGGACGGCAAACTTTTCTTAATTAGTCCGTGTATATGGTACACTGTCTGGTATGAGTGTCTAGATAACTGTAGTTAAATATTAAGTCTGATTGGTACAACAATTAAGACTTATTTCCAGTTAGGAACTTTTATATCGTTGTTTATCCAGCCCATTCGAAAGTAGATAATGACATTGTTTCAGTCCACGATGTCTTGGGGCGGTCCTGAGAAGTGGTCACAGCTGGACACTTATGGTGTCATGAGGCAGAACAAACAGAAGTCGTCCAGCTACGCTGACTGTAAGTTGAAGAACATCAGAAGCTCAAGCACGAATTTCGATAGATCCGTAATCGTATCGACTTCGTCTATTTCTTTTATGGAAGGAACCAGTTTGTTCTTAGATCTAGGGATTGCTATGGCTATCGTTATCGCTTACGATTTTATTTTGTTATTCCTGGCCGCTTGAGGTTATCAAATACTTCGCGCTTTTTTTTATACTTTTGCATTGGTAATAACAATATTAAAGAAAATGAGCGTGAGGTATGTGAAAACCTTCGGTGGTCAGAAATATCAAAATGAAATCGTAAGCGATAGCGAAAGCCATAGCAACCCCGTTAGGCGCCCCCAGTAGGAGCGCCGCTTAGTTTTTTTTTATAAAAACTTTGACGTTGCGATTCAATTACAAAGCTGTCCAAATTCGAGCTAAGCCTCTGTATCTTTGTTTTATACTTATACTGTTATTTAGCCCGCAAATAATATATTTATATATACTTTTGAGAGGTATATTCAAAGTTCAAAGTCACCATTAAATATTGGCTATCAAAAGTAATTTTAGATTTCTGTCCTTCCCTATACACATTCGGTTTTTTTTTTATTTTAACCCATTTAATGATGCTTTACTAAGGTTGCCAAAGTGTTTGTGTTTGGAACACATTTCAGGGTCTACCAACTGATGTGGTGGCTGATAGTGATAGTGTTGTGGTAGATACAATAATATTAGAGGTACCATGAAGCTGCTGGCTATAGGTTGACTATTATTAACTCCCACTCCCTACACAGTACTGTATTGCTAGCAATACTAGCATAAACACAAAAAAGTAAAAAAATATATATCTGTGGTTGTATTGTCGTTGTCGTTGTAGGTACATATTAAAAATATGTATTAATCTCTTTTTAGAAATTATAATAATTTATTTGGGACGTTTGGTGCGAAAGTTACCTAAAAGCTCCGGTATGAGAGTAAGTGTCGCCAGATGGAGCTATATTTTATTTAAGATGCTTAATAAAATTCAAATTTAAAATAAGTCAACCACTACATTATAGCACTCAATTTGCTTTCTTGGTGTTGGATAGTGATGATGGGCCGCTGCACCATCGACGACGTGATGCAAGAGTTCAAGATGAACGGCTCCGACTCTCCATACACGCCTGAAGACGACGCACCCTGGACGCATCGCCGCGCAGGTCAGATGATTTCAAAAACAGTTGCCAACTTTACGTATGGGCACGTCTCATCTTCTGAAACTTTATAGTAAAGCCAAAAAATCATTTTTATACCTCTGATTACCGACTTCGTTGCTTTGATTCTATCAAACCACTGCACCGTGCAAAGATGTGTAATTATATAGTAACTAAAGGTCGCCCGCGACTTCGTCTGCGGTAACTTAGTTTCTTAAAAATCCCTCTGGAACCTAAAATTGTTTCGGGATAAAAGTAGCCTATGTCTATCCTATCTAGGGCCTGGGTTCCAAACCTGGGGGTAATTACCCCTCCGGGCGTAAATCAGCCATACTTCGTGGGTAACAAAGAGCCTAATTATTTGGTCAAATCTAAATAATAAGAAAATACTATATAATAATACTACTAAATAGTGCATGCGCTCCTTCTTGCTAGCGAGCCCGCGGGGTGCTGAGTGTGGAAAGCGGGGCGAGATTTCCTCCTGATGATGACATTATTAGAGACAAAGATGTAGCGGCCAAATTGGAATTTCTTGGACTGATGATAACATTTTAAAGTCAGGCTAAAATCTGTTTTCCTAATAGGTTACGGGGGTAGCAGTATTGGAAAGGTTAGGAAACACTGATCTAGGGTGTCAGCTAACTCCATACCTTTTATTAAAATCGCTTCAGCCGTTTAGACGTGAAGAAGTAACAAACATACACACTCACATACTCACACACTCACAAACTTTCGCCTTTAAAATATTAGTGTGATGATTATCAACAACACTTTGTCCTCTGTTTGTTGTTTTTATATGAATGCTGTGCTATAATTTAGATTGTGTTGTACAGAAGAAGCGTCAGGAGTGTCGGGCATGGGTCCTGGGAGCGCGTACCTCCGCCAGAAGTCTTGGCCGGAGCCCGAGCGCACGCCGGCCGTGCGCCTGCCCCCGCGCTGGATCGAACCGATACCCACTGCTATTTCACCTGGTAACATCTTTAAACTTTAAGGCGCTTTGCAGACGACGGGGCGGGGCGGGCTTTTTGTCCGCGAAGCAATAAAGACCGCATCTGCCCGTCGATGTCTGCGGCTGCCCTCGCCGCGTACACAAAGCACACGATGGGCAGAGGCGGTCAGTTCAGAACGTTCGTTCTAGTGAATAGTCCATCAGTAAAAAGCGCGTGGCGCGGACTGAGCTAGCCGCCCCGCGCCACCGTCTGCGTTACCGCATATAAACTGGTTTGTATGATCCACGGCGGGCAGCCGCGGACATGCGGTCTTTTTGCCCTCTGTGTGCGTTTGTAGTATAGGATTCACTTTGTGCTATCGTTCGCGGCGAAATTGACCGGCCCGCTCCGCCCCGCCGTCTGCAAAGCGCCTTAGGATTGTGATGGATGTGTGGTTGCAGCCCCTGTGGCCGGCACGTCGAGTCCCCTGAGCAGCGCGGGCGCGGAGCTGTCTAGCGAGCAGCTGCGCGTGCTGGGCTCGCTGCCCGACCGCGTGCTGCGCGCCCTGCTCCAAGCCATGCAGCGCGCGCGACCACAGCGACTAGAGATGCGGGTGCGTCACCGTTTTCAATATCTATACTCAATACTCAATTTTTTATTGCTTTGTTACAAAATAATATGCACAATCATGGACCCCGTCGGGCACAGCAATCGATTAATTACAGAAGGAGAGAGACACCTTTGATTACATAAAAACGCTAATAAGTACCATAGCTGACTATTACAATTTAGAATTTATATAATATCTATCTATAATAAATTAAAATAGGTATTGAATTTTATTTGATTCTATAAAATCACGAATAATAATAATAATAATGTGTATACTAATTCATTAATAATACTAACAAAATATATGAAATATACGCAAAAAAAATATTTAAAGTGATATAAAAACAAAACACAATTATTTACACAATTGAGAATATAGTATTCTCAATTATGTAAATAATTAAATCATTTGAATATTAATTTACACTACTTGTTACTTGTTACTTGTTGTGGGCCCCCGTTTCCGCACGTAGACTCATAATTGGTCCATTGTGCGTGCAGGGTTGATTGGGCTAGCTAGCTCAGCCAGCCCAGCTCCTTCCAGAAGCGCAGTAGTCTCCTGGGACTCTCACAGGCTTCTAGGAGCGTCCTCGGCGTCCCAAGGATTGATGCCCGGTGTTCTGCCACACTCATGCACTCCAGGATCACATGAGCGGCCGTTTCATCTGCTTCTAGACATCCTCTGCACAGAGAACTATCTGTAACACGTATGGTTAGTAAATGCTTATTTAGCAGGCAATGCCCTGTTATAGTGCCCAGCATTACTCGGAGATCAGTTCGGTTGAGATTTAGTAGTTTTCTAGTTAGTCTTGGGTTGAGGCTAGGGAAGATAGCCTTAGATTGCCTGCAGCCCTCGGTGTTGGCCCAGCGGGTGTTATGGCTCTGTATGGTTTGCTGGCGCACCCATGCACGAATTTGGTTAAAGGGCAACGGCAGGAGCGGCTCAGGGCCTTCCACTATATGTGCTGATCCCCTTTTAGCCAGTACATCGGCTGCGTCATTCCCCATAGAGCCGCTGTGTCCCTTGATCCATTGGAGGATAACCTTGTTCTCTCTTGCTATTCGCTCCAATGTTAGGTGACATTCGTATACTAGCCCAGACGTTTTGCTGTTACTGTCTAGGGCTCTTAGGACAGCCATACTATCAGATATTATGCGTATCTTATAGTTCGTGACTTTCCTGTTGATGACGGCGGTGGCGGCCTGAGTAATAGCTATACATTCACATTGGAATATTGAGCTGTGAGTACCCAGTGCCGTTGATATATGGATGTTAAGGTCTAGGGAGAATACTCCAGCGCCTGATCCGGATCCTGGTATTTTGGATCCGTCAGTGTATATGCGCATTTCGTCTGTGCCGGACCAGTCCTTGTTGGCTTCCTGTAATTCTATTTGATATTTCTTATCAAATGTGTGTATAGTCGGGATTTTGTCACAGCGGGCTATTACAAGGGGTTGGTGTTGTATAGCCCTTACCAAAATCTTGGAGTGAGGTCCCTGGTATCCCGTCCATAGGCCCAGATGGTACATTCTTAGCGCTGCCATTGTTGCCTCTTGCTGTATGAACAGATCAAGTGGCAATAGGTCTAGCGCTATTTCTAGGGCGTTTGTCGGTGTGGATTTCATGCAGCCTGTAATTGCTGAACATGCAAGTCTTTGAAAACGCTGCAGTTTGTTTTTAACGGTGGCTAGTTCGGTTCTAGGCCACCAAACTATTGCACCGTAGGTGATGAGTGGTCTGATTATGGTTGTGTAAAGCCATTTTGTGATTTTTGGTGCTAGACCCCAGATTTTACGGAGTAGTCGTTTGCACTGCCAAAATGTGATGCAGGCTTTGTTTATCTTATGGTCTAGGTGACTGTTCCATGTCAACTTATGGTCAAGGATTATGCCTAGATATTTGACCTCGTTAGACAGTGACAGTTCCGTGTTGAATAACTTGGGTAATTTAACAGTATCCAAATTACGTTTCTTTGTGAACATGACCATCTCTGTTTTGGTCGGATTCACCGATAGTTGGTGTTTAATACACCAGTTTTCGACTAGTTTGAGAGCATTGCTCATTAAGTTGCACAGCACATTCTGGAATGGCCCGCTTATGAGAATCACTATGTCGTCTGCATAGCCTACTGTGTGGTAGTTGCGTTGATTGAGCTGGCAGATTAATTCATCCACCACAATGTTCCACAAGAGAGGAGACAGGACTCCTCCCTGTGGGCAACCCCGAGCCACTACGGCTCTCTTCGTAGTGTTCACAGTCACTTGTACTGCCCTATATTTGAGCATGTTGTTGATCCATCCCGCAGTTGTGGAGTCAACGCCATGTCTCACAAGTGCTTGGCTAATGCTGGTAAAGTTAGTTTTGTCGAAGGCGCCTTCAATATCTATGAAGACTCCCAACGTTGATTGTTTTGGTAATAGTCCGCTTTCTATTTGCTTGACTACGTTATGTAGAGCGGAGTCAGTGGATTTGCCCATGCTGTAGGCATGTTGATTTGCATGTAGTGGTACTCGCTGTAAGGCATCATCCCTCAGATCTCTGTCACACATCCTCTCCAGTACCTTTAGGAGAAACGATGTGAGACTTATTGGTCTGTATGCCTTAGGTTGCGTGTAGTCACTTTTGCCTGGTTTTGGTATGAAGATGACTTTCACCTCTCTCCATTTGGTGGGTATGTACCGATAAGCCAGGCATCCCGTATAGATACGTAGAAGATGGTCGAGTATCGACTCACCACACCATTGCAGTAGGCCTGGAAAAACGCCATCCAGTCCTGCTGCTTTAAATGGGAGAAAGCTTTTGATGGCCCATGTTAATGTGTTGGGTTTTATGATTTTGTGTGCAGTTGCCCAGTCAGCTGATTCCGGATTTGCAAATGTTTCATCTTCCCATTCTTGGTTGTCTTTTGTGTTACAGCCTGGGAAGTGAGTCTGCATTAGTACTTCACAGGTTTCAGCGTCGGTTTTTGTATAGGTGTTATCGGCTTTTTTGAGTGAACCTAAGTTGCGTTCAGGGTCGCTGCTTAGGATTTTCTTCACTCTTGCAGCTTGATTGTTGTCTTGGATGTCGCTACAGAAGCGCTTCCAGCATTCAGCTTTCCTGAATCGGATGCACTTCTTGTACTGCGACTGTGCCTCCTTGTAGCGAATCCAATCGTGTTCTAGTCTGGTGTTTTTAGCTCTGTTGAACATTTTCCTTACCTTGTGTCGCAATTTAGTTAGTTCAGGACCCCACCAGTTGTGTTTACTTTTAGCTGTTGAGCGTTGCTGTGTGAGTGGGCAGGATTGTTCATAACAGACGATTAAGCTTGATGTTAGATTATTCACGTGTGTGTCTATTTCCATAGGGTTATTATAAACCTCTGGTAAATGGAGACACTTCAGGCTGGCCGTAGCTAGTAAGCTAAAATTTTTGCGGTCAGTCTTACGTGGAATTCGTCGTGGGTCTGGTGGTTTAGTGTTCATGTGAAGGTGGAACCTAATCCATCTATGATCCGAGCAAGATGCTTCGTCGGATACATGCCAATTAGTGATGAATTGGGCAACTCTCACTAGTGAGGGTTAGGTCGATAATTGTCTGGGCCCTTGATGTTACAAAAGTGGGTTCAGAGCCTCTGTTGATAATTTTTAGATTTGTCGAGAATAAGTAGGTTGAAAACTCCTCACCTCTGGTGTTGGTGTCGTTGCTGCCCCATAGTGTGTGATGTGCGTTGGAGTCAGCAGCGATGATTATCTCCAGTCCTTCTTGCTCGCAGTGTGTCACCAGCCTTTCGAGCTCCGGCATAGGGATGTCAGCGTCGCCCGGACAGTAGGCGGACGCTATAATCACCTCGGGAAGGCTAGGTGTGTCACTGAGGAGCCTGATTACAGTCAGGTCTCTGGAACAGAACTCGGTAATTAATACGGTTTTAACATGTTTAGGAGTAAAAATGCATGTACGTGGTTTACTTACGGTGGTGTTTAGAAGTAATTTGCCTCCGATGTTTGACAGACCACATATCCTCTCACCTCTTATCCACGGTTCCTGGATGAGGGCTATGGTCTCGGTGTTGGTCTCCAGCACACGCCGAAGATTTGACGTGGCTGTTTGGCTGTGCTGGAGATTCGTTTGGATGATTTTAAAGAGGGGGGCTGGGTTGTCGTTCGTCATTTTGACGACTCGAACATCCCGCTCTCTCTTCCTCTTCTTTCGCCTTCTCCCCTTCAATCCACCAGTCCATACGTCCAGTACCCTCCTCCTCCGTACTGGACTGTCGGGCCGGTGGCGAGTTATAGGCCGGTGTTGTTGTTGTCGTCGTCGCCGTCACTTTCGGTAGGTTCGACGTAGTGGCTGGTGGATGTGGCTCACTCGGTGTCGTGGTGAGTTTGTCGGCGGATCCCGTCGAGAAACGGACGTAGATCGACCCGAGCTTGTATGCTACGCGTCGGTCTCTTGCCAGGAGTTTGGCTACATCATCCTGGGGAATACCCACCAGTATGAATAGCTCCTCTTTCTCCTCCGTCTTCACGGCATGGTACAGGGCCCACTGGTTTACGTTGTACCACGGGTTTTGGGCGGCCAGCCTTAGCCTTAGTTGGTCAAGGCTTTCGCCCTTATAGCGTGGTACGATGATTGAGGCCTTCATCCTCTTAGGGATTTCGGATTGACGTTTAACCGTCAACACGGTTCCCGAGAGGGGAGGCCGGATGTTCTGGACTGTTTGGCGCAGCCATTCCAGCGAAAAGTCGTCCTCGCACCATAGTTTGAGGACGCCTTCCGACCAGAAGGCTTTGCCACGGAAAGCAGGTGAACGAGTCGCCGTGGTGGATGGCTTGTAGATCTGCTCGTCCAGGGCGTCTTCGATGTTCTCCTCGATTTTGGTAGCCTGTGCCTCGGTTAGGTCCTGGAAAGGCTCCATCATTACGGCGACGCAGAGGTCATTGGCCTTCAATGCGTCTGCGTAATTCACGGCGGAGCTTTTCGGCACTGTTCTGGGCCTTTTGGTGTCCCCTCTGGGTGAT